TGCAGTTTACTCACTACTTCTCTCGTTAATGAAGAAGGACAACATGTTTATGTACTAACCAGTCTGCAGAATAGCAGTTTCTACTACTATGCATGGAACATAAAGCGGTGAACTGCGCTGTCAGAAGCGTTTCTTGTCTCTGCATGCCCAGAAAAAGCATGAATTGAACCATGAATTGGATATTGATTAAGATCGAAATTCACCGCACGTGTCCCATTCATGGTCGAAACTGTTACTTGGAATGAGCTAGATCTGAAAATGGGTATGCTGTGGTGCTGGCCAACGCCCCGATCACTTCCAAGGAAAACTTCCTACGCTCCTAACCCTCGTTTGATTGCCGTTGCCAAAAGCTGGCTAATATCACTGTACCATTAAGTAGAAACGAAAATACAATTAAGTCAAACCAACCGTCGTTATTGAATGCCGCTGTACGACAGGCAGATTTGTGCGAAGTTAGATAGATTGTTTCATAGTTGCAGGGCTCAGCAGAAGTAGGTATAACATCAGCGTCAAACTCGAGATCCAATCCGGCAGAAAGAACATCAAACTATAATTAAAGCTAAACAAATTTTATCTCACACAATCATTAATATTTGTGCAGACGGCAGACATAATATGCTGCGTACCGGTGAAACACCAGACAATGTGTACGTAGCCTACCACAGAGTAACCTTCCATATGGCGGAAGAGCTATGGTAGAGGCACCGCTCACCGCTTAGAACATGGTCTGGGACAATGTCCTGATTCGTGCACCGCTCAGGCATTAGGTCTTTCATCCCTCTGGGTTAGGGTGCAGCAAGCCCCTCATCTCGGGGACATATCCCCAACTTCGGGTCATCCTCAACATTCAGCAAGAGACCGCCACAGGACCCATCATTTTTCGAGGGTGAGGGGACCCATCCCCTAGATGGGTAAATCCTGTAGTTCACTAGGACAGAAAGCGACTGTTTCGCATTTCGCAGACATTCTAACGCTGCAGAAACCTCAGGTCCACATCAGAGTGAACCTGGAGTTCCTGCAGCGAAAAATGTTTTGCGCGCGAAACGCGAAAAAGTCGATTTGTCCTAGAGAACCACACCATGGGTGAAAGGGTATGTCCCTCGGGTGTGGTTCACTAGGACAGAAAGCGACTTTTTCGCATTTCGCAGCGCGAAACATTTTCCGCTGCGGGAACCTCAGGTCCACCGCTGATCATCAGTGGACCCGAGGTTCCCGCAGCGAATCATCAGTGGACCCGAGATTCCCGCAACGAACAATGTTTCGCGCTGCGAAACCCAAAAAAGTCCTATGAACCACACCCGGTCCACTCACCCAACTCGGGGCTAGCTGCACCCCGCCCCAGGAGTCGGTTAACTGTTACGAAACCGTATAGGAGGATAAAAATTTAATGATTTCTAACACCATCGA